TCTGATCAAGAATCGTGTGCTTCTGAAAAAGAATCGTATGTGGGAGAACTCACCGTTAGTGAAATGGCTGCTGGGTACTCAGAGTTGTGCCTTGAGAATGAAAGACTGTTTCAGAAAGTATTGACACAAAAGTTTGTCATTACTCAACTGGAGGCTGAGAAAGAAGAGCATCTACCTATCATTGCTAATCTTAGAGAGAAGACTGTTAGAAATATGAAGGGTCTTGGTTTTAATAACCAAAATTTGAAAAATAACAAGCAAATAGTGGAGTTTGCTCCTCATAAGATGAAGCATGATCTGAAGATGTCAAGGCATATGTTCTAACATCCGCCAAGACATCAGGAAAGATATCATAGTCCCATGTATCAGCCATGGGGTGTCACTACTATGGAGGGTTTGGACATTTAAAGTCCTCATGCTACAAACTATATGGATATCCCATCCATAGACTTCCTTACAGAAGAAAAGATGATAATTATAAGGCGAAGTCAAGAGGAGCTTTTCACCATGATTCATATGGACTCATAGCTTACACTTCTCTCAAAGCCTCTACTAGAGAATATTAATATTCTGATAGTGGCTGCTCCAGACACACGACTGGAGTTAAGAGATTCCCAGTGGACATCAAACCAAGTGTCATTAGCTATGTCACATTTTGAGATGGGTCAAAGAGTGAAATCGAAGGTGTGGAAAAGGTAGATTATGCTGGACAACCGAGTCTAGATAATGTGTGTTTGTGAAAGGGCTAGCAGCAAATCTGATAAGTATTAGTCAACTCTGTGATCAAGGTCTCAAAGTTAACTTTACTCAATCTGAATGCCTGATTATAAATGATAAGAATGAAGTGGTTATGAGAGGAACACGGTCAAAAGACCATTGCTACCTGTGGAATTCTCCAGATTTCCTCTCTACATGCTTATTGTCAAAAGATGATAAAGTAAGCATATATCAAAAGCTTAGACATCTACATCTGAAGGGTATGAATAAGATCATGTCAAAGGAAGTTATTATAGATATTCCCAAACTAAATATTGATGAAGGGAAATTTTATGGTGAATCTCAAATTGGGAAGCAGACAAGGATGTCCCATAAGAAGACTCGACATCTTGCTACCTCAAGAGTTCTAGAGCTTTGTCATATGGACTTGATAGGGCCTATACATATGGAAAGTCTTGAAGGCAAAAGGTATGCCCATGTTGTTGTTGATGACTACTCGAGATTCACTTGGGTGAAGTTCATCAAAGATAAATATGAGGTGTTTGAAGTGTTCAAGGAACTATGTCACAAGATTCAATAAGAAAAAGGTTGTGGTGTCATCAGAATCCGAAGTGACCACGAGAAGGAATTTGAGAACAGTAAATTTCAGGAGTTATGTGCATCTGAGAGGATTAGTCGTGAATTTTTATCACCCATCACTCCTCAACAAAATGGTGTGGTTGAGAAAAAGAAGAGGACTACTCAAGAGTGTGCAAGAGTTATGCTTCATTTGAAGAAATTGCCCTTTTACTTTTGGGATGAAGCCATGAACACTGCTTGCTATATTCACAACAAAGTGACAATTAGAACTGAAACTTCAGTTACTTTTTACGAATTATGGAGAGGAAGAAAGCCAATTTTCAAGTACTTCCATGTATTTGGAAGTAAATGTTATATTCTGGCTGACCGTGAGCCAAGAAGGAAGTTAGATGCCAAGAGAGACGAAGGAATTTTTCAAGGATACTGTACTAATAGTAAAACATATAGTGTATTCAACTCCAGAACCAAAGTAATGATGAAATCTTCAAATGTTATTGTTGATAACTCAACTAAAGAAGATGATGTCCCAAAAGAAGTTGAGACAAATATTCCTACAAGAGTTGTGATTGCTGAAGAAAACATGACAACATCTTCCACAAATGTTGCAAGTCCAAGTGCTAATTTTGAAGTTGAAGAACCTCGGGTAACTGACAAAGGATCCTCTCTCATAATTAAAAAGGATCATCTTAAGGAACTGATAATAGGAAATCCTAGACAAGGATTTGTTACCAGATCAAGGGAAGATGTATCAAATGCTTGTTTTGTGTCAAAGATTGAGCCTAAAAATGTGAAGGAAGTTTTGAATGATAAATTTTGGATCAATGCTATGCAAGATGAGCTTGGTCAGTTTAAAAGAAATGAAATCTGGGAATTGGTAACAAGACCTAAAGGAGTGAATATCAATAGTAAAAAATGGGGGTACAAGAACAAGACTGATGAACAAGGTGGTATCATCAGAAATAAAGCTAGACCAGTTGCTCAGGGGTACACTCAAATTGAGGGAATAGACTTTGATGAAACATTTGCTCTTGTGGCTTGCTTGGAATCTATTAGATTGCTGCTTGGTGTAGCTTGTCACCTCAGGTTCAAGCTGTATCAAATGGATGTCAAGAGTACCTTTCTAAATGGACACTTGAATGAAGAATTTTATGTTGAGCAACTGAAAGGATTTGTTGATCCTTCTTTTTTAGATCATGTGTTCAGACTGGAGAAGGCCCTATATGGACTGAAACAGCTCCAAGAGCTTGGTATGAAAGATTAACTGAATTTCTAGTAAGTCATGGATACATAAAGGGTGGAATTGACAAGACTCTCTTTGTCAAAGATGAATCTATAAAGTTATTGATATATCAGATCTATGTGGATGACATTGTTTTTGGAGGAATGTTAGATGACATGGTCCAACATTTTGTCAGACAGATGCAATATGAATTTGATAGGGGAACTGGCTTACTTCCTTGGATTGCAACTCAAGCCGATGGAAGACTCCATTTTTCTTTGTCAGAGCAAATATGCAAGAAGGATTGTGAAGTTTGGGCTGGAAAATGCCAGCCATAAGAGAACTCCAGCTCCTACACACCTGAAGTTATCTAAAGATAAAAAAGGGGTTAGTGTTGATCAAAGTCCGTATAGAAGCATGAATGACAACCTTCTATATCTTACTACTAGTAGACTAGACATCACATTTGATGTTGGAGTATGTGCAAGATATCAAGCAGAACCTAAGGTAAGTCACGTTAATCAAGTAAAGAGGATTCTGAAGTACGTGAATGGAACATGTGACTATGGTATATTTTACTCCCATGATACAAATTCCTCGTTGGTGGGATTTTGTGATGCTGATTGGGCTGAAAGCGCTGATGATAGGAAGAGTAACTCTGAGGATGCTTCTTTATGGGAAACAACTTGATCTCGTAGTTCAGTAAGAAGCAAAACTATGTTTCTCTATCTACTGCTGAAGCTGAGTACATTGCAGCAGGAAGCAGTTGCTTTCAACTAGTATGGATGAAGCAATTTATGTTTGAATACAATGTCACACAAGATGCTATGACATTGTTTTGCGATAATCTGAGTGCTATAAACATTTCAAAAAAATCCTATTCAGCATAGTAGGACCAATCACATTGACATCAAACATCACTTCATCAGAGAACTTGTGGAGGAAAAAAATCATTAAGCATGAGCATGTCAATATTGAGAATCAGCTTGTTGATATCTTTACAAAAGCTCTTGATGCTACTCATTTTGAGAGCCTAAGGAGGAGACTTGGGATCTGTATCTATGAAGAGCTATAGCAATTAATGTTGGTGCTGCATCTTGTGTTGAGGATGTTAAGTATGTTGCTGCACCTAATGAACATTCTGCCGGTGCTTTCGAGAAAAGAGAAGATGCTACTGCATGACAGCTAGTCATGGGATTTTGCTTGGATCTATCTTATGATCCTGCTTATTTTGGTTTATGATTATGTAAGGGTTGTTTAAGTGTTTTAGCCAAAATGTGTCAAAAGGGGAGATTGTTATTTCTTTAAAATTATGATTGGTTTATATTTTGGTAAAATCATTTTAGCAGCAACATGTTGAACAAGATGTTTCAACTTTCTGTTTTCAACATGTCGAGAAGGTTGTCCCAACAAGGAGTTAGGACATCGCGTATGCAACAAGCTAACAATGTGTATCAACTATTTTTAGCAATTGGATGTTCAAAGAATATTTAGTTAGCTTATGTGACGTCTAAGATTGTCAAATCAGAATATTCTTTGATTGATTTTTGAAGATTTAATTAGTTTCTAAATATGGAGATTTATTAGGAAACTAATTATTGAAGACCTATTTTCTTGGAGGACTTTTTGTAGATTTTGTGCAACCTTAGTGTTGCAGTTTTGAAGTCCAACCCAGTCTCGAATAAAGTTATAAATAGATTGGTGTATACCTAGTATTAGGTGGAACTTAAAGATGTATTTGTATTAGGGTTTTTAGAATCCTTATTGTTAGGTTGTAAGTTCTCTATGAGATGTTTATATGCTTTAAGCATTGAACATATTGTGTGTCAATTCTCATAAGTTTTTAAACATTGAGTCTTGCGTGTTTTGGAAGTATAGCTTCCGGTTGTTTTTTGTTTTTTACTTGTGTTTAGAGTTGCTCCAATTGTTGAGTGTAATTGAAGAGGAATTTGAGAAGGGCCTCATACCTAAGTGTGTCTGATGTAGAAGTTAAGTAAAAGGTAGTGATTAAGTGCGTAGACTGTAAACTGGAAGTTTGCTGTAAGGTCTGCAAATTGATACTATCCAGTTGATTTCGTCCCTGACTTGGTAGCTCCCAGAGTATGAAGATTATTTCGAATTAGGTAAGCATATCATGCGTTATTTACTTTCAACACTGTTATTTTTATTTATACATCTTGTAGTTGTGTGTGAAGTCGGATCCGGTGTCTCGACATCTCTTAGAACATCCGTGATCTGATAGTCAAAATTTCAATTATTATTCTCGTTAGTTTGAACAAGATTTCAAATTCATAGAAATACCACCAACAAATCTCTCACATTGAACCAATGAAATTTAAATTTAGATATTTATGTAATTTGAATTAAAATCTTAATAACATGACCAATCAATGTTTTAGTAGACAATAATTTGTTGTTATTAATTTATCGTTGTTCTCTTGTAAAATTTACTGAAAAAATTAAGATTAGAAAGATGAAGCATTCAGAATTGCAAAGAGGCAAGAAAAGAACACAAAAACTCTATTCCTTTAAATTAAAAATCTATGAAAATACAGGTATAACCAAATTACATAACACACATTCACTCTTGATGATTATCTCCTCAACATTTTACACTCATTTTTGGCCTTTTTATTTTCTTTTCTCTAAACCTGCACAGCAAAAAGTTGCAATATACAAAACGCAAATGTCCTCTCTCCTTACAAACCACAAGAAAATCAATAAAATAAAAACCATAATCCTACTCTTCTTCAATTTCAATGGCACATATTCTCAAATCCATGCATAGGACACCAATGTATAGCTAGGAGGAGCACCACCCTTGATAGCATTATGCACATATGTAATGGCACAACAAAATTCCTCCATCCCCATTTTAGTTTTATCTTATAGTTCTTGCTCTCCAAAAAAGAGTCATCATAATTTAGAGTTCGGCCGAAAAATAAATAAGTTTGAACAAAAAATATTTTAGTCAAAATTCAAACAGATTCTCCTAACGCTTTATGCGCCGGCCTTAACTTAAACTCATAAGTCACTTGAATTTGAATTTGACCACTTTCTTCTTCCATCACCATTTATGTATATATGTAATTGGCTTTAATATAGCATCCAATTTCTTATAATCATGACTTGGATTGTGGCAATAGAGCAAAAGCAAAAGTATGCTTAGCCTCAGATTTCCAACACCATTCAATATCTTGAGCTATATTTTTTGCATCCATAGATGCACCAAGAAGTCCACGTTTGGTGAAACCAACAGCATAGAGGCCATTTTCACCTTTCCATCCATTAGGAAATGGCTTCATAGGGTATCCATCTTTCTTAGAGAACATATCCTTATCCTGCACATATACCATTTCGATATTTAGTATTACTACTACTTTATTTTTCTTCCTTTATATGATTTTCAAAATTCAGATAGAAAGATAACCTCTTTAAATTTATTCCATTCCTTTTAAAATAAAATAAAAAGTTTAGCACATGTTAGTGCATATTATTAAAGTCAAATAAAAAAAATAACAAATGCCCTAAATATTTATTTTGATCTTTTAATATATTTTATATAAAAATTTTTTAAAAATTGTTTATCTATAAAAATATTAAAAAATAATTTATATTAATACATAAATATAAATAAATATGATCGTCTAAAATTAAATAATAATAAAATATAATGTATAATATGATTTATGATTAAATACCTTTAGCCAATAAGGTACATTACTTTTGTAACCAGTTGCCAAAATAATGGCATCAAAATTTTCTATCTTTCCATCAATAAATTCCACTGTGTAACGTTTTAACCTCTTGATTCCTGGACATACCTGAATCAAACAAACAATTAATTGAAATTATGTAACCTTAATAAAGTATGTATGATTTGATTGAAAACACATAATGTTAGAAAATCTTTCAACACTAAATAAACTAATTTCAAGGTGACACTAAAATCTTTTTTTTTTTTTGACTCAAAGTGACACTAAAACAAAATCTTGAGGATTAAAAAAAGATTGAACTTGATTTGATAGAAAGTACCTTAATGTCTCCTCTTTTGATCTTGGCAAGGGCACCCACATCTAGGACCGGTGTCTTTCCAGACAATTTTTTGAGTTCAAGGGGTCCTACACGGGGCCGAATCAAACCGAATCGCGCCGTGTCGCCGAGCAATAGCCAAGACATGATGAGAAGGATGCAATCCACAAGCTGCATAGGCAGCCACTTGAGCAACCACATGGACAGCCCAAAAGTTGATTTTCCCAGCATATCTCTTGGTAGGATGTGTACCTTTAATCAAACCAAAGAAAAAGTAGCATCATGAGTATAATTTGAATACACTTTCCTTTAATAAAAACATAGGAGAAGATAAACACGTTAAATCAATTCAATTCAGTTAGTAACTGTATAAAAATATCTGATTGTAGGAGCACAAATTCGTACTAATAACATTTCATTTAATTATTTTTAAGAAGTAAATTTCAGACACTAAACTATTAGACAAACATAAAAAAAACAAAAACGATCGTTTTATGTTTTATATTTCACACCGCGACTATAATCTAAGGTATAAGCTTAAGTGTTATTTTCACATTATTAAAGGAAACAACTCAACCTCGACCATGACTAGACTTAAAATTTAGTTTTGGAGATGTCTTGATGTTTTCCATTATAATAGTTTCATTCCAAACACAAAAAAGTGAAAGGGAAAAATAAGAAAAAGTAAAAGTGGGAGCTTATGTGGGGGGGTTTTTGGCCCTTGGTAGGTCTTAATTGTTTGGTGGCCATACTCCATTTGTAATAATAATAGGGAAAGAGTTCTCTTTCTTTTTCAAAGAACATCATGGGAATGAAAAAGGAAGGGAAAAACAAAGCATAAGGGTCATATTCTATCCCATGCTAGGCATGATTGAGAGTCCAAAAAAAAGGTGAAATATAAATGCTTTTTGAGATACTAGTGCTAAAAAATGAATTATTCTAAAAACTTCTGAATTGCTTCTAAATTAACAATCAGTTATTCTTGTAGCCACTACATGAAACTATGAGTAATTTACTTGCATATTATATTTTACAATAAGTTAGTTCCTTAGTGCACAAGTAAGTCAAATCTTGCATCATACATAAGTTAATTCTACTATTTAATCAAAGAATTAATTAATAGTGCAACTTCATTTTTGAGAATGAATTTATAAAAGATCACAATTTCAATGTTTATTAATTTGGACATGAAGATCCATTTTTGAGAGAATGGAAGAGAAAGATTAATGAGTATTTACCGAGTCTCTAACGACAATAGAAGGAGCAGCATCATGATTGCAAAGATCCAAACAAATTTCCATACCAGAATTCCCACATCCAACAACCAAAACTTTCTTCCCTCTAAATTCCTCACCACTTTTATAGAAACTAGTATGCTTAATACTGCCACCAAACTCACCAACTCCTTCCATCTCCGGCACAACCGCCTCCGCATTCTCCCCCGTCGCAACGATCAACCACCGACAAACGAACTCGGTAACCATCCCTCCTTTCCCCTCACTCCTCACCCTCCAAAACCCAAGTGTACCATCGAACTCAGCATGTTTCACTGTCTCATTGAACCAAGGCCTAATATCGAATTTCTCCGAGTAACTTTCCAAATACTCTATGAATTGTTGTTTTGTTGGATATGTTGGGAAACCAGCAGGGAATTTCATTAATGGAAGCTCGCTAACTTGTTTCGGTAAATGAAGACGAAGTCGATCGTAGGTTTTTAGTTTCCATAGTGAAGCTATGCAGTTTGATCTTTCCAGTATTAAACTTGGAACACCTTTTTGTTTTAGGTATGCTGCTACTGCGAGTCCCGAAGGTCCTGCTCCTACTATCAACGGACCTGGAATCCATAAACATCTTTCATTTGAAGAACTTGAATTTTTTTTGTTCATTTTCTCTATGAATAAAGGGTCATTCGCTTGTTTTCCTTCTATTTCTCTTAGATAAGAGTCCATCTTGAAAATACGAATCGAAGTGACAAAGGCTGAGACTGGTATATTAAACAAGTGGAGTTTAAGAATGGACAAGGACAAAATGAATGCCTTAAAATATTGAGTTTATGGTTGTTTTGGATTTTTGTTGTGTGTTTGAAAACTTCAGGTTGAGTTTCAAGAAAAAAAGCTCTGTTTTGAGGATTGGTTCAATTGTGAATTTGTGTGTGTTGTTTTCAATGGAAGAGGGTTATTAAAGAGAAGGATGAGTACTAACTATGAGGCTAAATCAGCATTGATAGCAGAGAGGGACTCTGAAGAGTAATTGTAATATCTCTTTGTATCTCTCTCTATATATATAGTTTTGTTTTTGTTGAGTTTATATGCAAGTGGTAAAATGAAAAATAACACTACTTGGTAGGTCATACAATTATGGCTTAATTGTGTGTTTTTGTGGTGCCACTTGGTATCACATGTAATTTTGGTCCCACGCTAAAATTGTGTGAAATAAATCTTTTAAATATCCTGTTTTTCACTAATTTCAGTCATGTATGTCTTGTTTCATTTAAATTTTAAAGCTAATTGTGGTATTGTTGAGTTTACTTAATCCGGTTGAATTAAGATTAGTGTGCATCACATGCATTGTTTGTTGTAACAAAATGGATATTTTAGTAGAGTTTCTTTAATTGGGGATATTTTAGTAGTTGTTGGAAGTGCAGTCAAACTTTTAATATTATTAAGAAAAGAATGATGGAGAGTTCTCAATTGAAATTCTCATTGTATTCATTGAGTGAAATTGATACAAGTCTACATTTATATATATATATATATATATGCAAGCGAGTCTTTTACTAACCAATATAAAGAAACCTAATTTTAATACTCCTCCACAAGATCAAGGAGCTTGCAAGAAGTGACATTGAGCTTAGACATGTGATCCTGAAATGCAGATATGCCAAGAGACTTACTCAATTGCTTTAGGGAAATGGTAGTATTCAAGTTGTTGATAAGCCTAAGAACCAAGGTTTAAGAGGAAGTAATGATAAGTATATCATCTTCATATACAAGACTATACATTGTCACTTCTTGATGAGATTGCACAAAGAGTGAATGATCACATTTACGGTGAGAAATTCCAAATTAAAGAAGGATTTGAGTTAACTTTTTACACCACACCCTTGAGCTTATTTAAGTCCATAGAGAGTTTTATTTAGCATGCACACAAGGGTTTTCTTGATCAAAGAAACCAAGTGGCTGAGTCATATATACTTCTAATCGGGACTTTATGAGTCTATTGGGATACTAACTGCAAGTATACAGTTTAGTCGTTCTAGTTTTAAATGATTATCGAACCCACAGAGATTGAGGATCAATTGCATACGATCTAATGTTACAATTGTTTAACTAAGCGATGAATATTTGGTTTTAGGGGGGAAAATAGTTTAATTAAAAACAATAGTAATAGCTATACCGGTATGTAATAGTCGGACTTCGGGAATTCGGTGAATCGCTTGACATATAAAGTATTTCGGTAAAAACGAATTGTTTAAAAACCTGAGACATACACTCTCGTGTTCATGAAATAAGTCATGCTACTAAACCTAGTGGATGCACTTTAAATTTAATAACACTTTTTGAAAATAATTTGAGTTTAATTAATTTGTTAAAACACTCTCGTGTATTTAAAAATTAATATTTCGTTACCACTATCTGGGTCGAACCCCACCTCTCGCATGCAGGTTCTTGCCTTAATTAATTTCCCACTCTCGTGGCAAAATCGTGTTAATTATCCTCTCACTCTCGTGACAAGGGTAGTTAAATTAAACATGGAAATTGGAAACCAGAAATTATTTATAAATGTTTTTAGCCAAGTTATCACCGAATTCTTTCGGTGCTTAGGAGTCACATACCGGTACAAATGAATTTAGTCAGACATAATATATTTAGTAACTATGCAGCTTAAAATATAATTCATAAAAATAAATGACATAGCATAAGAATAAATAAAAATCAATTGCATAAAAAAAACCTGTAAATAATGTTGTTATGGTAATCTCGAGTGCGTACAAATTCCTTGCAATAAATTGAAATCTATGCCCGTGTTAATTCTTAGATGAAGAACTAACACTTTGGAAACTAATTCTGGAAGCTAAAAGTTACAGTAGGTATAAAATGGTTCAAAAACAAATAAAATAGAATAATGCAGAAAGCAGAAGTTTTGTTCTGTAGAAAATTCTTCGACCATGATCCATTGAACTGCCTCATATTTATAGAAGAAGATTTTGCAGTTGAGAGAATTTAGGAACCGCTTGAGTGGAGGAAGACTCGGATTGATAGTTGCTGAAGTTGAGGAAATACAGGAGAAGAAAACTGTCCACTACGTTGCCCACGTCTCCTGTAATGCATAAAGTTTCTTTTAAGCGTGTGACGGTCGTCATGAGGGGGTGACAGTTGTAATGCGCTTAAATAACGCGTTACGTTCGTCAATGATGTGTGACGAGCGTCCTTCAAGTTGTGAGCGTGTTACGCTCGTCATGGGGTGTGATGGTCGTCACAGCTACAAAATCTGCAGACTTTGCAGATTTGGTTCTTTTTCTTCTGATTCTTGGTTAGCTTCCTTCATGTGATCCTTTTTCACTGATTTTATTTGAAACATGTTGTACCTGTGAAAAGACACAAAAACTCGCAACAATCGGGAGTTAAACGACATAATGTATTATGAAAATCGATAAAAAATATAGTAATTATATGATACGATTTCTCGTTATCAAATTCCCCCATACTTAAACATTTGCGTGTGCTCAAGCAAATAGTCATTTAGAAAAATCGAACAAGTTTTATCAAGCGCGTATGCATGACATACCTTTGATTTTTAAAGCAATTTCGTGAAATCCTCGTCAGTTCGACCGATACTTGAGTGAAACACTAACGATACGCTAATGACACAAGCAATAAGCTTAGTCGTAGGCTTCCACTTCAAACGAACTATCCAACAGTTCCATTATAATTCTGCCCAGAGTTTCTCGTATCTATTTCGCCCGGTTTCGTTCTGGCGCAATCACATTAAGCCATTTGTCTTAGCACGCACGTAGTGGAGTAACCGGTTAGTGACTTTGATCCTTTTAGCACGGGGTCTGGTACACGAATGTGGCAACCCTACATATGTTATCCAAATTGGATGTTGTGGGGGATCGAGCCGTAGCACGCCCTACCAAGTCCAGAACCAAATACCTCTGAACCAACCAACAGTGGATTCCTTCATTATTTGCTCAACTCTTATATGTGACCGTATATTTTGGTGCACAAATTTTTCTTTTCTTTTAGCAGCGAGATAAGAAGGATATTTCAATGATCAGGCATCAAACACTTATATTCATCGATTCTCCACATGGTTTGTGTCAAGACGGTGCTGACTGCTAGTATAAACTACTGGGGGTTACTTTAGAACTAAAACTCAAGATATAAATATAATGGTTATTGAAACGGATCGCGTAAGTAGGAAGTCTACGGTGTCATAACTGTATCGATCTTGTTGATTCGTTTTCGGCTTCCTCAACTGAGATTTCGTTAAAATAGGTATGTCGGGCTAATGCGAAGATAAAGTAAAAATTTTCGGTATGGCTGAATAAAGCGAAGAATTTGAATTGAGACATATCATAAAAATTTACTTATTTATAGAAGATGGAAAGGTATCTCTCCCACACTAAATCCGACATTGTCCTCAATGTTACGGTATATAGGCGGGGAAATACAAATACAAAAATAAACAGAAAGGAAATGAAACAGAAAGAGTAAACTACTTAGAAAATAAAGAAAACTACTGATGGCCACATCCTCTACTCCTGGTGCGAGAGCGCCTGGTAGGAGTGGCTTCTGTGTCAGTGTCCTGGTAGCCAAGGGTGCTGACGTCCAACCTTAAGGTGTTGAGTTCCGACAGGGCTTCGTCCAACCTCTCATTCATGATCCGCTGTCCAGTCAAGATATGAGTGTTTTGTGCGCATAAATACTCATATTGTTCTTGTTGTCTTCTTTCAAGTGCGGCACTCATTTGATTTTGCAGATGGATGGCGCGGAGAACTTCTTCAAGAGTAATAGAAGGTGGTGCAGATGAAGTTCCTGGAATGTCGTGGACGGGGGGGGGGGGGGGGGGGAGCACTGTCCAACTCTTCTTGCATTTCGTCTGCGGGGGCATTAGGTTGGTCTTCATGAGTAGGGACACGCCCCTCGGGAGCTGCAGGATCGAATAACCAGTTAGCTCTGTTTTGTGGATCGATTCGGTCCCTGCAAGGCAAAGTGATGTTTTGATAAACAACATTTCTGATCACAGGATGGAATCTTCCATCCTCCCGCTCATAAATAATGTGTGCGGCCTTGCAGTGGTCCAGAGTCAGCAAAGTCGGTGCCATAGAAGGCATATATGCGAGAGCGGCACCATAATTCAGGGCTATGGCAAGGGAAGTGACAAGCCCTCCGGAATAGAAGGGTTTTCCGCCTCTAGCATAAATAGAGTGAATATGAGCCAGTAAAAATGGGGCGGCGTTGATCTTTTGGCCGGTGAATGTGCAATGCATGAAGAAGAGCTCCTTGGAGTTGAGCTTGTGGTTGTTGTCACGGGCGAAGATGGTGTTGCAGAGGATGCAGTGAAAGTATCGGATAGCCGAATTATGAATATGTGTGGCGTTGAGGTGGTCGTAGGATCCGACACGAATGTTCGTCATACTGTGCCATAAATTAAAAGCTTCCTCGCCGAAATTATCCGGCACCCAGAGGTGGACACCTTCGTCAGAACAGAAACCAAACAGTCGTGCGATATCGGTTTGGGGCAGCTGATGCTCAATGCCAAACATACGAAATTTGGCCACGCCTGAGAGTTGGTTCGTGGCACCAGGGGGAGTGATGTATGCAAAGGAACTCAGAAACTCAAAAGTGAGAGTTTCATAAATGGGTTACGGTCCGCGACACAGGTTCCATAAATTCACGCTCTGCAAAAGTTATCGGACGCTGTCTAGCAGTCCCAAATTCCT